AACATATCATGTGCAGATTGGAGTCTGTGAAACACTGTGAATACCTGAGATTTTCTTCTCATACATTAAAAATATTTTTATGAGAGCTCAAGTTATGAATTTAAAATAAGCTAGTTCAGCTCTTTGCTCTCTTATCTATAATGGATTTTGTGAATTAAGTAAAATATATAAGAAAGCCTTCTTAATAATTAAAATGATTTACTAATCTTCTTTCTACTTTCTTCCTTTACTATTATAAGGCTATTGATTTCATTTTTAAATCATTGTCACACGAGCATGAACAAAAGGAAAAGAACAGTTTATCCATCATAGAACAGTTCTGTCTTCACATGCTTCTCATTTAAACTTTTTTTTATATATTAGACTCATCCTGTTTCCTCTCTTTGATCGCTTCTGGTGACTATCCTGTTTGCCATAATGCATGAGATTTAAACATTTTCCCTAGGGCCCTCCTTAGTGTTTGGCTTCTTTAGGTCTGTAGATGACTGTCCTTTATCATATGACTAATATCTGATTATTAGTGAGTGTATACCATGCCTGTCTTTCTGTTTCTGGGTTAAGGGATGAGGGGAAGAGGGAGGGCTGGGGGGGAATTGAGGGAGGGGCTTCTATTGGGATATATAATGAATAAATTGTGAAGAAAGAAATAAAAATTAATAAAAAAGAAGCTGAAAATTGTTCTTTGACAGTTGCATAATGGTATATAATGTGTTATGATCATATTTTCACACATTGCCATCTTTAAATCTCAACCCCAGTGTAGGCTGACCCGTTTCTTCTTCCCAAGTGTTTGCCCTTGTACTTGTACCTTGTATATATTTTTGTATAAAACCCTACTGCTTTTTATTAGGCTTGCTGTATGAGCCTGAATGTTATCAGTGGATATACTACCAAATAAAATGATTCTTTCTACTCCAACAGCCATTAGTCACCCACAGCTCCCAGTTAGGGATGGAGCCACATGACTCTCAACTATTCATAATGGAATGTTGATAGGCTCTTGATCTGTTGGACTTGTGCAGGTAAATACAGGCTTCGATGACTGTATGACTACAATGGTTATCATCTGGAAGACAGTGTTTCACAGCAATTCTCCCCAATCTTTCTACTCCTTCTTCTACAACATTCCCTGAGCCTTGGATAAAGAGCAGAGTGATAAAGATGTGTCATTTAAGAACATGCAATGGTACCTACAGAGCCTAAAAGAGAGTATCAGAGACCCTGGAACTGTAGTTACAGATGCTTGTCAGCCTCCTTGTAGGTCTTGAGAACAAAACCAAGGTCCCTTTCAAAATCAGTAAGTGCTTTTAACTGCTGAGCAATCTCTCCAAAGCCATAGAGGAGTTCTTAGTCTTTCAAAAGTATGTTTGTTTGTTTTGTAAAATAACAACAACAAATACCTAACTGTTTTTCTTAGCAAAATAGATAGTTTTTAGCTAGCTACTTTTTTCTTTAGCAGTTTTCACTCTAATTCTTGAACAAAATATTTGCCAATTTTCCCTCTGCTCTGAGAGCTTGTATTATACCTCCAAGCAAATCTTTCACATGACATTAGCTCTCTTAAAGACACATATAAAGTGACATACTATAATCATTTTGACCACAAAAATAGCTATTGTCATATGAAATAAAATTTTCCACAGGCAACAATTCCCTCCAACACTGGAAATTTAATCATTGATATCTCAGTCAAGACATTTTTCCCCACAAAGTAGAACTACTGTTATTGGACACATTGAGTGGATTTATTTGGACAGTAAGGAGTTGCAAGAGTTCCCCTAAAATAGAGAAATGCATGCCTACAGCCCAATATTGTGAGGTCTTAGAAAAGAATTCATTTGGAATGGTTTCTTTTACTACCTACACCCCCAAAGAACAGATTCTTCATAAGATATGTCTCATATACATAAACTGAAAAGGTAATACGTCAAATTTCCTTTTTAAAGTCTGTGTGTGTGTGTGTGTGTGTGTGTGTGTGTGTGTGTGTGCGCGCGCGCACGCGCAAGCGCACGCCAGCCAGAAGAAGAGATCAGATCTCCTAGAGCTAGAAATACAGATGGTCTTATGACATAACAGTTAGTGCTCTTAATCACTGACCCTACTCATAGGCCTCTTAAATTATAATTTTTAATGACTGTCCTGAAATGAAGTTTATTCCTCCAAAGGTTTTAGTTACACCATTATGCATTTTTAAGTGCTTGTTATAGCAGATACCAGGCCATATAATGAAAAACATCTCAAGTGGAGACAGAATAGTAAAGCATCAAAACATGTAAAGTGAATTGAACTATGCACACATTCTGTTGCTCTTGTCTACCCCAGGGATTTAAGGCAAACTTTTATGCAGTTTGTATATCAATCAGTCTCCACTTTATTTACATTATATTATGATATATAAATTATGCTTATTGTTTTAAAGATTGGTATGAGGATCAAGTGAATTAAATCATCCCTGGAATACTGCACAATGAACAAATTCTACTACAATTATAATAATTTAATTATTATTATAAAGTAAAATAATTTTTATAGCATGCTGTGTTATTATCTTAGAAGGTGCATAGTGACTTGTTATGCAATTAGTAATTATGGAAAAATTATCTCCACCAAAATATTTAGCGTTCAAATTGAATGTAGTTGAACTTAATGGAGTATTTTAACTATGGACTATGAGAAAAGTTTTGAAATTGCTTTAGGTTTTTCTTGAAGTCTCTTCCTTTGCCAATGACAAAGATGACAGGCCTCCAGCTTAGGGCAGGGGGATAATTGAGGCTAAACTACAACCTGGGTGCATAGTACCTAAAAGTAGAAAGAAGTGAAAGAAAAATGTGAAAGAGACTCACTCTACCACAGGGGATGCCCAGAGGCCAGTCATTCACAAAAAACAATAGAAGACAATGCATCAGGATCCTTCAATACTTACAGGTGCAAACACTGTTTCCCACAGCAACTTCATGAGTTCTGAATCCTGAACAAGGATGCCATGTTTAAGGTACTTGGAGGTTGGACTAGGGGTAGCTGCCTTGTTTCCATATTTACTATACTGGTGGATTGTTCTAAACATATTAGAATTTATTCTAGGCCAAGAATAAATATACAAAAGAACATAATCTATCTTTAGAAAAGATTGTATTACAATTGTAATCTGGCTCAAAATAAGCAATAATTCAAAACATCTCCCATAGAATCAAAAATATAAAACATATAAAAAAACTCTGATAACAGAATATGCATCATAGAACAACAAAGTGGTGGAACTAGCAACACAAAGGAAGAATTAAATGCTGTGGAAGACAGTACACCTAGGTATTTTAGATTATTCAAACATTACTTGGGGAAAAGATAAACAAAAATAACAGAACAAATGTCAAATCAATAAATTTGAGTTGTATTGAAATGAGTCATCTCTAGAAATGATCTTTTTCTTTTTTGTATATGTTTTCCTAGACAAGATGTAAGAAATTCCATCTTCGTCTGGCTCACAGCATGTTGTATATTCATGTGCTGTAGAAGCACACAATTTGCTTAGTATAAGACCCAGTTCTGTGCTTTGAAATACTCTTGGGTAAGCTTAGATGAGGTACTCTGATGTTACTTCGCATTCCCTTTGACAGAGTTTCCAGATTTGCTGGAAAAATAGATTAACTGTTGTGGAAGGTTGAAAAGAATGTGTATTATATATGATATGTATAGAGAGTCATATGATATTCATACATATATATGATGATATATGGTGAATTTTATAGTTGTTTGTTGGTAACACTGGATAACAACAAACATTCCAAAAATTTGTATGAAAAAGCAAAGCGAACACAAAGGAAAACACATTTTAAGATATTTGATTTTAACCTATTGATTTATGCTCAAGGAATAGTGGAAAGAAGCATTTCTGATGAAGTCTTTACTTCTTTGTCCTGCAATGGAATGAGATTCTAACTGTATTACAGCACAGCTGATGAAAAATAAGGTAAAGAGGAGATCATCCACTGGAGACTATCCAGCAGAAAACCTGGTCAGTTTCTAATAAATATCAGCAAAAACCAGAAAGTCATGCTTAGATTTGTGTGATAGAAATACCTAATTATTAGAAATATTTTTCTACTAAAATATATTCACCTTTGAAATTCCTATGAAAACAAATACAGTTGAACCTATATCCACTGGTTTAGTATTCATACCTTCTCGCTGGTCAATCAAAAGCATTATAAAAACTGTCATGTACATGACATATACACTGAACATGTATAGACTGTTTAGATGTGATTTTTCCCCAAGCAATACATAAAACAGCAGTCCCCTCATTATTCATGTCATAAAATATCAATAACGTAGACATGGTATATATGAGTAAACATAGTCATGCAAATATTGCACCATTTTCTAAGGATGACTTTGTTTCCCAGACTGTAGTATCCACAGAGCATCTGGGCCCATACCTTTAAAGACTGAGGGATGACTGTGCCCCTTTCTCTTTTAAAACTCATTGTATCTCTTTAAAAAATACAAGCTCTTGGATTCCAAGTGTGAGAGGTGACAGATATATTAATAGCCTTGACTGAATCCCTAGTTAGAAAAAAATATACACAGCATATTGACCAAGATAAACATTCAGTTATTAAACTGGGTAAAAATAAATTAATAAAAGAAAATGTATACAAATGTACTTCTTTTGAAAGTCTCCAAAACAAGTGCATTTATAAAGATCATACTAAAAAGATCATACTGACACCAATTTTTAAAATTATTTCTATGAACTAGGTCATGCTTTAAAACGTGGCAAACACGTTCTAAGATGTAAGGTTATTATTTCTTCAGATATGCCCCTGTCAGCAAACACTGATAAATAATTAATAATTAATAAAGAGCTCCTGCCATAGCCTAATAAGGACTATAAAGTCAAAGTGGCAGAATCCATGCACACACATCTCTGGCTTCTATTGCTGCTCTTGCTATTTTACCAACACTGCACTGAAGGTCAGTGTCACTGGTGTGTCACTTACTGATGGGTAGAGGTAACCTTCTCCATTCATGGCTATGTACAACCCTGTCTTCACTCCCTGGATGGCAACAACGCGCAGTCCCACTGGAATGAGGTTGAACAGTGCTGTTGAAGATAAAGGTGATCTGTCACCAAGCAGTAGACGGAGCAAATCATTTCAATACTTTACTTTCTCTTCCTGTTATTTAAGAAACATCATGTGTATTTCTATTTTTCCAAGTTCCAACTAAAGAACGTTTAGTTTCTTTATGATGAAGAGGGTTCTGTCATATAGAAAAATAAACATTTCAGCTTCAGCTTCCACTTAGCAGGATTGCCCACACATCTTGAAGGGTTCGAGGGAAAGAACAGAATCAAGCTTATAATCATGCTTCTACTATCAAAGTCTCTGACCCTACTAAATTTCAGGGAAAAAAATCATCTATGGATATTCTTAAGGAGCAGATATTGAAAAGTGCAACTTGAAAGTGAACTATCATTTTCTTCATGGTGTGACTGGGCATTGCAGTGCATTGTAGGCCAGAAGTTCAGAAGTAATTCTCCAACTAAATTATTTTGGCAGAAGCAATGTGAATTGGCAGAAAATATGAGAAAAGATGTGTACCTACTGGCCCATAAGATAAACTTAAAAGGTGCTAATAAAACCAAATGGCATGCAAATTTTCAAGAAAAAAATTATTTATTGATATTTTATGAAACTATGGATAAAAATAAAATAGAATATGCTATTTTATATCTCTGACAAGTTAAATAAGAAATTTATATTTCTATATTTTCTTCTAAAAAAGTATCCTAATGTATTTGTATTTTTTATGAAGTGTACTCAACAACACCATCTTGAATATTATCAGCTAAAATATCTCTGCTACACATAACTGGCTTAGTGAGTCTTCCATTAGTATTCTTTGTCCAAGTAGTATTATCAAGAAAGCTATGAATTAATTATCTGTTCTCATTCAGCTTCCTAACTTTAATTTACTTCTGAGCAGTGAGAATAGGCATGGAAAGCACTTAGCCCTTGAGCTAAATGTATAAGTAAAATGTCTTAACTTTAAGTCTTCAACCCTTTTACAGAAGATATGTCATTTGAAATTAGTTGAAATTTTTATTTTATTCTAAGGCTCCTGAGTGCATAATTAAAAACTAATGCTTCAAGTTTTGTTCTATTTTTTTCTTGGGGTCATGCTATATAGGGTGGAAAATGCTACATTCTCATTTGAAATAATTACACATTCCTACTCTCCAGATCATAACATATCTGTACCTGCTTAATGATGAAAGGAAAGGAGCAGGTCATGGAACTGATAATTATCTAGAGAATAATTTTGAGGCCCAAATGAGGATAGTTGGGTATTGTTTTAACTATACAAAGTAACACTAAACTATCTTCCACGGGACTCTGGAGGATTACGATATGTAGAAAAATACTCCTTTTCATTTCTGTTACGTAGTATTGAATACATATGGTGTCATTGGGAACTAGTCTTTGTCCATGAATGCTATGTTTGCCTTTATCTTTATTATCTCCCTAAACTTTGAAAGAATTGCCACTGTAGGATAATTTCTAACTTCTATGAATAATTTTAAGGGAAAACATAGTCTTGTGTATGTCTATGTAACTACATAACCTGAAAATTTCAAACCTACTTACTTTAATCTCTGTATTCAGTTAAAAATATTGTAGATTCTGAATATATCATGTCAACTAAATGGAACAGTTTCTAAAGGCAAGAGTAATGCAAAATGGGAAGTAGAAAAGTTCTAAAATGTAGCCCAAAATAACCGTAATGAAAATCACACTGTCCTTCTTTCTTAGGAACTTTGGCAAGGGAAATGCAACTTAACCATGTGGAGCTGACCATGGAGTGTGTGTGGTGCTGAGAAAGAGCACAGACAAATTACTTTCCTCTCTCCTGAAATCTTCCGTAATTTCAAAGCAATCTGGCAAAACCTAGGGCAGTAAAAAAATAAAGATGCCCCTGTGATTGTATTTCTTTGTAGAATACTCTGGTTTACAGGTATCATGGGATTTCAACCCTCGCTATACATGAAAATAGCTGTGCTTATGAAATAAAATGACCAGACCCAGACCCAGACTAACTGAGTCAGTGTCTTAAGACTGGGTTAAAAGCATAAGGAAAGTTTCTAAAGAGCTATTCAAAAAGCTTAGCTTGAAGTCCATGCTAGAATTGCCATTCTAAGCCCGCTGAAGTGATGTGACAACTTTTGTCTATTTCAGACAGTCCACACATGTACATACTGTATACCTCCCACACTAGCACCTTGCCAAAGAGAGAAGAAAGCACTTCACAGAGGAAGCTCTTTCCTTCAGTTGCACCTTTTTTCTTTGAAAACGTTTGTTATGATTTTTGCAGGTGATATCACTCAATCTCTCTTATGAAAGAGGCATTTTATTTATTTATGAGACCTCTGTCAATAATTGTTTTATTTTTTCCTGTGCCTGAATTGTTTTTCCTTCTTTTTTCCCAAATAAAAATTAAAATAGAAATAAATCAATAAGCAATAATCTAGGAGACATTTTAAGGGAAAAAAATGAAAGCTACAATAGAGAGAAAAGATTCAATATTTAAAAGAAAGGTTAACAAGGAAAAATAAGTGTATATTTGTATATATATGAGAGCAACCCCCAAACCAGCACTATAAACACACTATTCATAAATTTTAGCTCACTTCAGATAAAGGAAACAAAAAAATACAATAAGGGCTGGTGATTCCATTAAATAAAGTGTCTTCCTTTCTTTTCATGGAGTATAATCTATTGTGAAGAGACATGATAACTGGATAGTTGTCATCCTTGCTCATGACCTAAGAGTTACTTGTCTTTTAACTACAACTATTGAAACTAGTTTGGATATTTTACCGAACCCAGAAGTAAAAGGTGTGTGTTTGTGTGTGAGTTTGTGTTAAAACTAATGTGAAATTAGAGTAAACCAGAGGCTAACGTAAGAGAAAACAGTTAAATAGGAGGGTCTCAGATAAATGCCATGAAAAATGTAAACAAGTTCAATATAAAAATAACAAATGGAAGAGAAATATCAATATCACAAAAGGTGCATATATTTTAATGAACACAAACCTATTGTATAAGATAATTAAAGGTTTTATACAATGTATTTGTATGTACACAACCTGAATGCCCTCTCTATTCAAAAGACGTTCACTTTAATACCACTGCATTAGTGTACCTAACTTTTAACTAGTAGATAAACAATAATGTTCTGGATATAACCATTGTGTAAGCAAAAGGAAACACACCCAATTAACACCACAGGTGCTTCCTTCTGCATTAGTACCTTCACGCATGTGGTCTCAGTGAAATGGGCAACTAGAAAAAAGCCAGCAGAGCCAAGCATTTACAAATACATCTCAGAGCTGTTTGAGTAGCACACTCAGGTGGTCACTTACTGGAATTGGTGCTGTCATCCTTGGTTCCATCGAGAGCTCCATCAGGGTGCATCTGCAAGTAGTAGCCTTGTCTGCAATATAACCTGGTCACTATGCCCTTGAGCTGGGGATCTGAAAGGCAAACACAGGGGTAATCAGCTTCACAAAGCTGAAAGGGAGACTTGTCTGTGTCATGACAAATCAGACTACGCGACCAACACAATTAAAGGAGATATCATAATAAGCTTAAAAAAATAGGCCATGTCATGAAACTAGCATGTGTGTTTACATGATTCATTAGACTGTTAAACTAATTAAATCACTAGTTTAATTATGACTTCAAATAGTAATTATTATAAACAAATTTTGTCCTTCAAGGTAGCAGTTCAAGAGTTTTGTAAAGGAGTGACTCAGAAACTTCAGTATAGGTTTTATTTATTTATTTACTTTGGCCTTTAAATGTTCTATCTATCTATTTATTTATTTATTTATTTATTACAATTTATTCACTTTGTATCCCCACTGCAGCCCCCTCCTTCACCTCCTCCCAGTCCCACACACTCTCCCTCTTCTCCCATTATGCTGCTCTTTTCCTAGTTCCCTGATAGGGGAGGTCCTCCTCCCCTTTAATCTGACCCTAGCCTATCAAGTCTCATCAAGGCTGGTTGCATCATCTTCCTATGTGGCCTGACATGGCTGCACCCCTCAAGGAGCAGGCCACTGAGTTCATGTCAGAGACAGCCCCTGTTCCACTTACTAGGGAACCCACTTGGAAACTGAACAGCCTATTGGCTTCCTCTGAACAGGCGGTCTAGGTCCTCCCCATTCATGGTCCTTCAGTAAAGTTTTTAAATGGACTTTTCATTTTACTTAAATTGACAATGCTTAAATGTGAGAAAACTGTATTTTAAAACTTTTGTTAATATTTGGTGTACATTTTAAATAAAATCCTCAGTTTGGAACTCTGCCATTTGCATGGAAGGATTTGTTGTGTTTATATATGCTACACACGAGTCAGACATTGCATTTCTGAACTCAATATGAAGCTTAGGATCAAAGGACACAAGATGTTTGTGCTTGGCTCAGTGTTGCAGTGCAGTAGCCAACACCAAAACAAAACAATAAAACATAAAAAAATATGCTCACTAATCTACATAGGGATCAGCTCTAGGACAGTGTCCTCATTAAGTTATAAATGAAGCAACAAGCTCTTCATTTATATAACTAAAAAGACAGCCTAGTTTATATATATATATATATATATATATATATATATATATATATATATTATATATTATATATTATATATATGTGTGTGTGTGTGTGTGTGTGTGTGTGTGTGTATCATCTGATTATTGGGTTTCAGGCATGGAAGCAGAGGGAGTTGGACATTTGCAAAGAGGAAGCCATGTATTGTGGACTTCTTATTTAATGACTCTGAGAAAAAGTATCTGCCTAGTAATTCAGTGTTTACCCAGAAGCTAGCCGAACCTAGAGAATCAATATTTGCATGTAGCTTTGCAAAGGCCATCCTCATTTTGGGAGTGTATCTGCTATGGGCCACCATAATTCTCACCATGGCAACAGGCTTCTCTCCACAGCAGCTGAATGGAGCATGCAAATTTCTTTGTGCTGTCCAAATTACAGGATGTTACTGAACAATCCAACACATAGTTTTTAATAACTACAGACTAGCCAAGAGGCAAATAGAAGCTGCACACAGGCCAAACAGGCAGATTTGTCCCCAAACAGAACAGCTCAGGGATTTTGATTAGCTTTTGGGAAATAAAAAAGAAAAACTCAATCTTATTGACTGTTTTTATGCAAATAACTGCTCTGAGCACATTTGTTTCATAGATGGGATGATGAATTGGACACAAATAACATTCTGGAAAATGAGCTAACATTAAGATATTTTAACATCAGTCTGACGAGCATGTCTGGAGACAGGTATATTTAAAAGGCCAAGACTATAAAAAGGGATATCTAAGTGACTGTGGATGTACAGTGTATATAAGTTTTTCTGTGGCAAATAATTTCAAAATCTCATAATTCCATAATTCCTTTTTTATTTTTGGTATTTTTCATCCTTTTGTTCTGTCAGAGCTTCCATCCCGATGACACTGCCTACATTCAAAATATGTGATTCCCTGAAGTTTATCCTTTCTGGAAATTCCTTCACAGATACCACCAGAGACATCCCCAGCAGTGTACTAGATAAGTCAATCCAGTCAGACTGAAAATTAAGATTAACTATTTCTTAAGTGTATGTTGTTGTTGGTTTTTGTTTTTCTGAAAACAGATTTTTTTTTTACCTACAACATATTCTGATTATGGTTTTCCCTTCCCCAACTCCTTCCAAAATTCCATAATTCTGAGATGAGCATTAATTAAAAAAACCGAACAAACAAACAACCACATATTCATCTGGTCAACATGTCCTGTCCACTGCAGACCTGTTTCTGGATTTGGCTGCATCTCTTATTCTCTTCTCTGCAAACTGATAACATGAAAGAAAATAAGTAAACTGATCATGGTGGTGTATGCCTTTAATTGCAGCAGTGGCAGATTTCTGTGAGTTTGAGTTCAGCCTGGTCTACGTACTGAGCTACAGGATAGGCACAGCTACATAATGAGACCCTATCTCAAAAACAAACAGCAAACAAACAAAAAAACAACTAAAAGGATGGGAGAATTTCTTAACTTCCACCAAAACATACAGGAATTTTACAGAGGCAACTATTCTATAAAAACCTGTGTGTCCTGTCATCACTTATTTAAAAATAAGCCCACGTTCTAGCCACTAGTATTTTTAGAGTTTAGTTAAATAGATCAGTTGGAGCAAAAAGCACCTATAGCTTAGCTCACAGCTTCTCTTGCACTCACACAGTGAGGCCTTATGAACCATACTTCATCCCTATTATGGGAGTAACAAAAAAACACAAAATTATATTTTCTAGTTTTCTTTCAATAATAAAAAATCAATATAATTTAAATTTAGCTGGTTGTACAGCTAAATTTAATAATAAAATAAAATAAAAATGTTATTTTAAAAATGTGATAATTAGCTGGCTGGTGGTGATGGTGCAAGCCATTAATTCCAGCCTTTGTGGGGAGGCAGAGGCAGGTGATCTCCGAGTTCAAGGTCAGCCTGGTCTACATAGTGAGTTGCAAGACAGCCAAAGCTACACAGAGAAACCCTGTCCCCTGTCTTAAAACAAACAATCCTGGTAACTACATATGTTCTTGTTTGTTATGTATTGCTCTAATAAAATTCTGATTGATTCATTGAATCTTCACTATGAGTCTACTTCAGAGGAAGCCAATTCAAAGGTGAGGCTAGTTGTTAAGTATCAACACTTAGCCTGCCCTCTTAACAGTGTGGCCTCTGAAAATGGAACAATTAAACTAAATTGCCTTATAAACCCCAAATAAAGTGCAAGTCAAACTACTTAATAAAAAACAAGGAGGTAAATAAAAGTGCTGCCATTTCTATGTTCACACCTAGCTATGTCTCACCTCTACATACTCATGCAAATGTGAAGAGAAAAGCCAGAATGTAGTTGTGAGATTATCAAAGGCCTTGAAAGTTTATATCCCTCCTGCTCTGTAGCTAGACAAGTTTTCAAGTTCCAAGTTTCTGTCCCACTCCCACAAATCCCTCACAAGATTCATACAGGCAACACCACAATTTTAAAGTTCCATCCATACCATTTTTGCTGTAATTTTCTCATTATCACTCAAGTCAAAGGTAGTTTCTAACCATGACTTGGCTGTAATGTGAACAACGTCAGCCTGGCACCATCAGGTTTGTTTTCATAGTCCACTTATTGAGCTGCCGGTCTCCTAAGACTGCTTCTTCACTGCCCCACCCTTTTCTCCCTTTCTCTAGTGTCTCACCATCATGGGATTTCTCATGCTTTCTCAGAAAATACTATACCAACTAAGCCATCCTGCAAGTTCTTCATCATTATTATTTTTTTATTAATTACACTTTATTCATTTTGTATCCCCCCATAAGCCCCTCCCTCCTCCCCTCCCGATCCCACTCTCCCTCCCATTTCTGCATGCATGCCCCTCCCCAAGTCCACTGATAGGGGAGGTTCTCCTCTCCTTTCTGATCTTAGTCTATCAGTTCTCCTCAAAAGTGGCTGCATTGTCCTCTTCTGTGGCCTGGTAGGGCTGCTCCCCCCTCAGGGGGGAGGTGATCAAAGAGCAGGCCAATCAGATTATGTCAGAGGCAGTCCCTCTTCCCATTGCTAGGTAACCCATTTGGACACTGACCTGCCATAGGCTACATCTGTGCAGGGTTTCTAGGTTATCTCCATGAATAGTCCTTGGTTGGAGTATGAGTCTCTGGGAATTTCCCTGTGTTCAAATTTTCTTGTTCTGTTGCTCTCCTTGTGGAGTTCCTGTCCTCTCCAGCTCTTACTATTTCCCACTTCTTACATAAAATTCCATTCACTCTGCCTGACAGTTGGCCATCAGGCTCAGCATCTGCTTTGATAGTCTGCAGGGCAGAGGCTTTCAGAGGCCCTCTGTGGTAGGTTCCTAGTTTGTTTCCTGTTTTCTTCTTCATCATTATTTTTAAAAAGTAAAAATTACTCACTTTTGAGCTTTTAAAATGCATTAAAATACACAGAAGCAATTCAAGCCACACCTAATTTACCCAACAGTGCATAAAACAGATGCTACTAATTTATCTTATAATTCATGACTATAATTCCATATATGTTGATAAAACTGTATGATAATATTTGCCTCACAAAGTTTACATAAAATGGCATAAAGTGGGAGTGTGTGACATTGTTCTTGAGTGTTTGTTGCCCAAACACTGCTAAGGCACTCGGAAAACATCCAGCAGTTTCATACATGGATTATTGGAGTCTAAACTTAAACAGTATGAAAAACCACAATGACAATAGCTAGCAAATCTTTAGATGGGTCCCCACACATCACTCATGTAGATATGCTTTCCAGACCTTAACTTTAAGATAAGCTTTGGTAAAGAGCTTTTTTTAGAAAGCATATATTTGGTTGGAGAAACAGCCTCATAAAAGACCCCTGTGCCCAGATATATTTGGTCCTTGTGGAGCTCCTGTCCTCTCCCTGTCATATTAACTCCTCATTCT